GGGGGGAAGAAAAAGAAGCCTCCTTAAGGCCTTTCCTGGAAAGATAAAGGCTTTCCTGAACTGACAGGGAGACACAGTAAATGACAAGTCTATCCAGCAGGGATGATTTTGGAGAGAGGCTAACCCTGTAGTTACAAAAAACCATTAATAACAAATACAGCCGCTTACTGAAGAGCACAAAAAAGACAGGGTTTTATGCCTGTGAGAAATTGGAGATCTTGCTTAATATTTGCTAAGCTGACAGGCAGAAAACAAGAGTACAGATTTTATGCAAAGATGTAGTAGCCATCACACTTAATTACACTAATTGGAAAAAAAAAAAAAAAGACGACCCCTACGAGCTCGACTGGCAAGACTGATAATATGATACTATATGTCAAGCTTTTCACCAATATAAATATAAAACTCTTTGCAGCAGACAAAAAAAAAAGTTCTCTAGGAAAAGCATAACATAAGTATAGTAGTAACATAAAGAAAAAAATTACTGTTCCTTTTCCTACATCATCAATTTAATTTATTATTCTGCAGGTATTGCCTGCTTAATATACCAGTAGCTAATGGTTTTGCACTGTGCAAAGGCTTGCACTGTGGAATCCTGGGTTTGGCTCTACATGTTACAAGTTAACATCTGAATGAGACTGTGATGCTTTCCTTAAACTAAACCAAAGGGTTTGGTTTTTGTCCTTCCACTTTTATTTATAGCTCCTCTCAGCTCCCCCTTCCTTTCAACTCCATTGCATCATCGCTCCAAGCCACTTGGTCCCAGACTTCTGACTTTACACCAACACAAATCTTTGTCAGGTTCTTTGGTGAGCCAAGTTAGTTCACTAAAATGTATGAAAAAAACATCATTTTGTTGATTTCTCTTTCTGCCTCTTCAACAAATCAAATAAATATGCACTTGGAAAGGGGCGTTGATATTAGCAGGAGGCAAGAGAGAGAAGCACACACAAAAGCTTGAGGGAGAGGGAAGCTGGGACAGAGGGAGGAGACCTCCATTTCAGCAGCTGTCAGTAAGGTTTTCATTCAGACCAATGCCTCTTGTGAAACCACGTTCTGACCTTGACCTCTGTCAAATTAG